TATCTATTGTAAGATATATTTTTATAAAAAACGTGAATTTTTTGTTATTTTATAAATTTATCAAGTAACATTCCAAATTTCCGAATATATGTAAGTCTTTATTAAAAAAAACCAAGGTTTGTATAGTTATAGAGAGTCCATTGCCGGCCAGCGCATCCGTCCAGACAGTTCATTAAGCACACCCAAGTTTGAGCGACCGTTACCCGGAGCTCCTCAAAAATACTTAAAATCAATGTATAGAATATCACAAATATGAATCATACACACATACAAAAAGTTTTATTACTGTAGGTATATCACAGTATACCAATAGAAAAGGTTTTTGCTTTTGTAACTGTTTCGTGGTGAAAGTCCCTTATGGGGACCAAATTTCCCCACAAGAAATTGAGCGCATGGTTGCTTTTGCATGCCAAAAGAACGAATATTAGAAAACATTGAAAAAAGTCTGAGATAATACAATTATATTCGACTAAAAATGAACATACTATTGTGCGCTAATTAGACAATGTGATAATTATGTTTAAAAACTCTTTTTAACTCTTATTTTTCACAAAATAATATTGCGGATCAGATTGCTCTGAGCGCTTGTGGTAAAATGTTGTTTACCAAGAAAATGCAGTTGGTTTTTATTTCTGTATCGCATCGCGGTGAGTTTCTATTTCTTGGTACTTCGGTTTGTGAAATGGAAAAAATTATTGAAGTTTATTGATTTGATGTGTTTAACGTTTGAATAATGCAATTTTCTTTCTTTTCATAGCATAGCAGCATCAATGGTGATTGCAAGGAAAACTACTGCAATCCCTGTGGTTTTTCCTCTTCGTAAATGCGTTCTGGGCGTGACCAAGGGTGGTCTTCCAAATTAACGGGAATCTCCACACCTATTGTATAATTTGAGCATGCAAATTCATATCCTATTTTCTTATTCACAGACAAGACGCACTGCTTCGATATCTCTCACTGCTGCTGCAGCAATAAGTGGCTGAAATATAGAGTGAAACCTCTCCTAACGTACACCTCTATTAGACGGACACCTCCCTTGGGCGGACATTTTTTCTATACCAAGTTTTAAGTATAAATTTCGGAACAAATTACTCTCTCTTAAGCGGACACTCTGTTGGCCGGACGCGGACAGTTATTTTGCATAAAATTGACACAAAAACCTCTATTGAGCGGACGCGAACCTCTTATCAACGGACATTAAGATTCAATCGACAATTTCCCAGTTTTTTATGTAATGAATCAATGGTTTTATGTAGTTTATGGACTGAAATGTAATATTTATTTTTATTTTGTTATTACTTAATATGTACTTACGCACATAAATGAAATATGTACTTTTGAAAAAAATACATGCACAGTTTTGTTTGAACGATGTAATATCAATAACTTTTATTCAAATAAGAAATAGAGACTATTCAATTAATTAAAACATTAAAAAGTTCTAAAATAAGCTTCCCTTCCATTGAGCGGACACATCTCTTGGGCGGACAAAAAATGACTGACGGTGAGTGTCCGCCCAAGGGAGGTTTCACTATATTGGCCATTAGCTCCGGCTACATATAGAGCATGTTAAACATTTTTATTTGTAATTGTAGGAGCGTTTGACAGCCCACTTGCGTACATATAGTCTGTTCCTTTGAACTTCAGACTAAAACCTGTGGAACTGTCAAACTACAATTTTACTCTTTCAAGTGAGAGTAAAAGGAGAACAGATGCAGAAGGGCATGGGATCGCAAAAAGCACTATTTCCTATAAAAACGTCAGTCGGTTTGTTTACATGTCACTAAATAATTATTAAAATCTATACATATTCAAACACTTCGTTGTTTACTTCCATTTTTTTTTACAAATATAAGGTTCTTTGCTTTCACCGCCTTCTGTTTTTGTTTGGACATGCATATCAGCTGATCGTTTGACACTTTTCATGAACTTACAGGAAAAAAAACTCCGGACTAAATCCTGTAACTTCTGACTAGGAACAGTTGCTCAGTTACTTTCTCAAAAGTCTTCCCACTTACAGGTTTATCCATAATTACAATTGTGTTTGTTTGTGCACATTTATTTTGCTCTGTTTGTCATTTCTGCTACTTCATCCTTGTCACAGATGTTTGCTTTGTGTTTATTAGGTGTTAAAAATACATTGTATTTAAAACTGTTCGCTACATAGAATTCAAGCTTATAATTATCAGCTGATTGTTTTCTTTTGCTACATCGCTTTTAAAACTGTTTGCCTTTTGGCTTCAAATATCATATATAAACCTACAAACATATCCATAGATATAATTTCAAATATGTCGTGTATTTACGCAAACTGTCACGTTAAGAGCGATGCCTATGTGTCATGCTGGCTTTGCGATGGGATTGCCCATATAAAATGTGCTGGTTTGAGCGGTAGGGTGTTAGACGCTATTAATGAGGGAAAGGGTCTTCGTTGGTCTTGTCAAAAATGCCGATGAACCGAAGTTAATTTATTTAAATTCTTTAGACGGTCCAGAAATAGTTTTTCTGAAATCGGGAAGGATCTGTCGGCGCTTGTTGAGAGATTTAAGCATTATGAAAAACCTCGACAACCCTCCAAACTCCGAGGAAAGTCGAGAAAATAAGCGTAAACGGGTTATTAGTCAACCTAAAAAGATAGTCACTAAATCTGCACAGAAAACTCCTCCATCTCAGCCCTTAGATTTAATCAATCTTTCTTCTCCATACCCTCAGGCACTGGAGCCTCCACTATCTGAAGCCATATCCACTAGTTCTACGTCTAAAAATAATAACGACAATCAAACTGTTGATCTAACAGTGTTACCATGGACATCTAAAGCTGCCCTATCTAACATTGATCATCTGAATAACTCGGAATCCCATATATCTGAAGTCACTACCAAAAAGTTGGTTGTAATTCCTCCGAGAAGATCAATCTTTGTCTCTAGATTTGCTAAAGACACTTCTCCGGATGATATAAAGTCCTACATATCGACTAAGATTAAAACTAAAAAGTATTTATTCGCAAATTTAATTTTAAAAACGATCAAATATTTCATCTTTTGAAATTGATGTAACTGCCGAAGATTTTGATTCACTTCTAAATAATTAATTTTGGCCGACCGGGAGCCTGTTCGCGAGTTCAGTATAAACCTTATAAAAGTAATAACAACGTAGCTAAAATTTCTAATCTTAATTCTGATTCAAGAAACTAGCTCGTAAGTCTAATTTCAGTATTTACTATCAAAACGTTAGAGGTTTAGAGGTTAACTGACTTATATTTAAAAAGTTTTGACTGAAACTATAATATTATTTCCTTGACCGAAACCTGGCTCAAACCTCATATTTTTAATTCCGAAATTCTTCCAAATGAATATCAAATATACAGGAGCGACCGCGAGGGCAGAATCGGCGGTGGTGCATTCGTCGATACCATCCGCAGAATTCACCCGAAGTTTTTTCATTCACCCGTAGTGAATACACTTAAGCCAAAAAATAAAAGTGGACGATTTCGGGCAAAAAGGAGCTCATAATAAGGCTGTTTATGTAAAATGCAAGTTTGGCAATTAAGTAAGAATTTCGATATTTCCAAGGCCTCTTAAGTTTAATGGGACTCACTAAATAAAATTTATCATATCGAGAATTTTCAGGAGACGCCTGTAATGTTTACAATTTGCATATTGTTTTCCTGCGCGGAAGATTTTAGCACGAAATTTGTTCTGCATCATTTACTAAAAACATTATTTTTTGAGTTATGACAGTGTTTTAGTTAATGAGCGATATGAACAAGTGCAACCCTTTAGTTGCTCTTATCGATATTCTCTTGTTTTAAAGCTTTTCAAAGAACTTAATCAAATTCAGCTTTTTAAAAGATATATTACTCATCTGCTTATTTTTTTCTTCAGATTTAACGGGGACGAGGAGTTCAAGAAATTTAACTAAAGCATGGACTCGAATATGTGATGTATTCCGTTACAATTACTCCTATCCTTTTTATCAGTCACGCATGATGGAGGTTTGTAAAGTTTTTGGAATCGGAGAAACTACTCGAAGAAGACGATGGCCGCAAAACTATGTGGTCCGATGAAACATCTGGCATGCCTTTGACAATTGCTAAGTCAGACGGAGGCTTCACATACGATACTTCAGACATGGCTGGAATACGTTACCGGGCAGAGCACACAGGCGCAGAATATGCAGGCATAGTCAATCCCGATTTTATGGGTCGATTACGGATGGCAACCGAACTTCAGTTGGGTGGCCAGTGGCTGAAATCGTATAACAGATGGCAACTGAGATGCTATATTGGCAACGGCAGTTTTGTGGTTGTCCATCGGCAACCCAACTGTGGTTGCGTTGCAATCCGTAATCGATCCATAAGCCACGAACTAATCAGTGCTATCTCAGAATCCATTGAAGTCCAATTTTTCTTGAAATCTACGAGAATGTTATCATTGAATTCGAGTATCTACGAAGCTACGAACGCAGCGTATGCTTTGAATACACAGGTTCGGATTCAGTGATCGCTTTTTCGTAGATTTTATGAAAAATCGGACTACGCTGGATTCTGTGATAGCCACCAATATGTATTCTCCTTTGGAAAGATGTTGGAGAAACGCAGCAACACAGACGTATACTTACTCTATGCTTTTAAGCGCATTTGCTAAATTTCTTGGACCAGCCAACTTTTGATTCAACTAATCGCCTTTAAAATGGCCTGTAAAATCGTATAATGTAAACACCGTATTAACAATAAGAATGCGCAATAAAAACATTTCTTTATTTAAATAAATAAGAATGTGCCAATGTAATTAATAAGTAGTGTCAGGATGTAAGCCGGGTATTTAGTATAATAAAGATAATGATATGTTTATTTAAAAATTATATGATACATAGTCTTGTGTATGTAATTTGATTGCCCGGTTATGCAACAGGGATGAAAAAGTAGGTACGAGAACGAAAAATGCCACTGAAGATGGCACAACGCCGATACCGGTTTGTCTCCAAACCAAATTTGACAAGGGATGACGGAAATTCGTTCCAAAATACATCATACACCCACCCAGTCGGAAACAACAACAACCAAAAAGGAAATACAATTATACCTTTATCCAACGTGTGGTGACTAAAAGGTACATTAGGTACAATCACTGGATTTTAGGTACAATCTTTGATCAGATTCATTTTTCTTTTTCCTTTACCGTGCTAATATATTTATTTGTAGGCATGGGAGAAGCTTCTAAAGAAAAGTGGTCAAAAGCAATTATAATGGCCACTGCGAAAAACTAACACTTTACTTAGCTATCCTCCAATTCATAATTCTTGTTATATTTTTTATAATCGAAATTTGAACTGATTTCTACCATAAAACGTCATTGCACCCTAGACTGACTCCCATTTCGAATGATGGTGTGAAATCTACAAACGCTCTACCTTTGCAATTGGTGGAATGCATTTTTTAATCTATTGAAACCATAAAAACCAAAGTTCCCCGCATATGAAAACGTTTAATTTTCTATTAATTTTATTCGCACGCACAGCCCTTTGTCTGGGATTCGTCAAATTGATGATTGCTTTTCAACTTTCCGTAATGGCTTTCAACTGGATGTGATTTACACAGATTTTTCGAAAGCCTTCGACAAAATCTCCCACAATATCTTATTAACAAAGTTAGAATGTTTAGGAATCCACTCAGGTTTCTTGGAGTGGATCAGGTCCTACTTGCGCTTGAGAACTAGCAAGGTGACTATTGATGGTGTTTCGTCCAAGCCATTTATTGCTCTCTCAGGGGTTCCTCAGGGAAGCATCTTAGGCCCATTATTTTTTATTCTTTTCATTAACGACATCAGCTCCTGTCTTTCAAATGTTAGGTTTCTCTTGTTTGCCGATGATCTGAAAATATATTCGGAAATCAGTTGCTCACGAGACTCGGCCTAACTTCAATCGCAGCTTAACAGGTTTTATACGTGGTGTGTTCAGAATCGGCTTACCCTCAACATCAATAAATGCCACAAAGTATCCTATTATAAATCAAAAGTGCCTCTTATGACATCTTACTCCATCGCAGATATTGTCCTTGACTCGAAAAGTGAGACTAAAGATCTTGGAGTACACTTCGACTCAAAACTCACTTTCACTCTGCACATAAACAAAACTATTGCTGATTCTTTTGCCATGCTGGCATTCGTTAGGCGTCATTCTTCCGAGTTCACTGACCCTTATACTATTAAGATGCTATATACTGCGTTTGTGCGTTCCAAATTGGAATACGCTGCCTTTATTTGGAGACCGAGTCACGCAGTTCATATCAATCGTTTGGAAAAGGTGCAGAAGGTATTTATACGCTTCCCCTTATGTTCCTTGAATTTTACTGAACCATTGCCATCTTATGTCTCCCGTTGTCGGCTAATTAGTTTACCTACTCTGCACAATCGGAGAACTTGTCATGCTATCTCGTTTTTATTGAGTATTGTCTCGGGAAAAATTGATTGTGCGTCCCTACTTGAGAGAATCCATTTTTATGTTCCGAGTCGTAATTTTCGTCGCTTCGATGTCTTCAAGGTTGGGTTAAGCAGAACGGCTTATGGTGCAAACGCGCCAATAAACAGAACCTTATCGGACTATAAGTATTTCTCAAATTTGTTAGACATATATTTTACCAATCCTAGTAAAACCGCATTATATTTGGAAAATTACCTTATGTCCGGTCAATAATATCTGCTCAATATCTGTATTTCTTGTAACCTTATAAACGCAACTTTTAAGTAGTAATATTAAATAATATTAAGACTGATTTGTTATATTTAATTATACTCTTAATGTCTGTTAAAACATTCTGTTATTAGACATAAAAAAAAAATAAATAAATAAATTTCATATCTTCTATAGTTGAGACAATAGCCATATTCGGTTTTTTATTTCTGGAAATATATGTTAAAGGGAATCGAATAAATTAAGCGGCTTTTCCCGATGTTTTGTAAAAAGCTGGATAAAAAAGGAAAACTGCGCAAAGTGTGTTTTTGGTCTTTTTCGCCAATATTTTTCAGTAGTCAAAATTCGACAAAAACAAAACTTCTCCGATTCTCATTAGACTATGGTATAGTATAGTATAGTATAGATATAAGCCCAGTTTAAAAAAAAAACCTAATCGAAATGAAAGTACATCCATCTTTTGTATTCATACATATTTTAAATAAAATTAATAAAAAAGTCTACAAACGAATGATGTAACTTTTTTCAGGTACACTCTGCCTCATTTAGGTGCATTTATTTTATGATATTAGGTACAATCTGAAACTTCCATTTTTCATCCCTGCTATCCCTGGCGGCTCGTACTCGACACCCTCGTCTCTGGCTCTCCCATTCTCACTTGACACTACTTTATTTGTACGCCGTGCACCTTCAAATAAAAAAATGTTAGTTCTTCAAATATGTATCACCGTTTTTGAGAACATCGGCTGCTGGACTGCGGTTGATTTTCACTTGCCAATTGAACACAGAAATTATAAGCAATTTGAATAAGTAGAATATAAGCAATTATTTGCGCAATTGTAATAATTTTTTAACGCACTTTCCACACCACCTTCGAGGTATTCATTTAGGCGCGTTACCGTTTTTTTAAGGTGTTCGGTTCCTCATGAGGCATACCTTCACCATTATAACTTAAAGTAAAAAAGTTTAAGGCATGCAATAAATGAATACAACAAAACAAAAACATGTTCTTAAAACTAATACAAATAAAAAATTGCATGAATAAATTCATAATTTAAAATAAAATAAAATATCGCAATTGTTTTTATATGTACATATTTACAAAATTAATCTTAAAGGACCCACAGTGAGTCCTAAACATATAAATGCCTAATAAGAAAAATAATGAGAAACAAATGTGAGAAATGTGAACAAGTATGTCGAGAAAATCTGCAAAGAGTAGCGAAACTGTAGGTTTGAATAGTAACCAATAGTCAGTACTAATTTGTACTGGAACCTGCAAATTTTTACTGGAAAAGTGTATGATAACCCAAACAATTTGCAAGAGAGCACTGAATCGAGAGCGTAACAACACGGGAGAGTTGCGAATTCTTGCTTGTGACATTTTTACTAGCAGAAATTAGCTAGCAGAAGAAGAAGACGAATAAATGTCAAAAGCTGCCATTTGTTGAATTGGTTTAGCACAAACAAAAGCAAAATGAGTGGAAATCAAAATATTAATGATGTACTGGACTGTGTAAGTGCTTTTGTGTAAAGGCAAATAGTTTAAAACTGATTTGTAAATACTAAAATGTTTACAGCAGAATACCAAAACGGTGCAACAACTATTCACTTGCAAGTTTTTACTAGTTTTGTGTTCAATAACTTTTTCTGCTAGTTTTCTCTTCTCCTCAATTTTACGCTCTATTTTGCTTTTACGCTCTCTTTGCAATATTTTACTGGAGAAGTTATACTATACAAACCTTGTATCTCAATAATAACAAGTAATTTTAAGCAAAAAATGCAATCGACTTCAATGCTCATTCCGATCAGTTAAAAAAATGAGTACGTATTCCACTAAAAAATTATCATACATATTTTAAGATTTTAAGTAAAAACTTCCAACTGAAGATGAAATTCCGGAGTCGAGGAATACATACAAACTAACTGTGAGAAATGCCTCTTTATTGAAAATGTTTAAAGAAAAATATGTTCTGATTCTAATGAAACGCTGTTTTAAAATATCGGGATTAGAGTTACTGCAGCAATAGTATGGTTCTATAGCACTCATTTTTTTTTTCAAATAAAGCTTTTGAAAACCCAACTAAATGGCAACATGAATCGAAGTTTTCGTTTGACGATTCATCCAGTTTCGCAAAAAACTCGATGAAGCCAGAAGGAGCTTTTACGCGATTTAAATTGTCATATTCCTTTTCTTTAGTAAAAGTAAATTCTTCTTCCGGAATTTCTCATTCTTCAAATCGTGGTAATGGTTCCAAACAAGTATGTAGTTTATAATACTCAAAATAAACATATCCGCAAAAATATTCAAAAGAGTTCCTTTGCAGGAAGTCGCTTTCAACGACATCAACATCTATACCGTTTCCTATATCGTGATATCTCTAAGGTCTGGGCAAAATTTGAAAGGTTTGCCAGGAAGTGTCTTGAACCAGAGGATCATTATTATGGTGTATTTAAAGCGTTCGGTTTTGCGGTTAGATCACTACTGTTTTATTTACTTCTTCGCTTTACATAACATTTCATTCTTATTACTACGTTACCAGATGTGTTTCTTATGCTAAATAACGACAGGTGTCGCGGTATAATTTTAAGGTGCTATCCAACTAACTTAAGAGCGCTCAACTCTACAACTCTCCCTCAAGTTTGAAATAGCACGAGATCTATTTTTTTTTAACTACAGTCATTACAAAAATAGTATTTAAAAACTTCATTATATACAGCCATATCATATTATTTATGCTTTACTCTTTATAATTAATTCTTTGTAATTTACGTAAACTTCGAAACTGCCTCGGGGTATTATTTGACTCGCCTGATTTTGACGCTGTTGCTAAATCTGATTGGCTTTCAACTACTTCTTCACTCCGAATATGAGCATTTTCTTTAGTATCGCCTGTAATCATTTGGTCAATGTGACGCTTGATACGCCGATTGTTGCTAGTTAAAATGCAATGATATGACCGCGGACCTATGCGTTTTGCGACAGTGGCTTGTTGCCAACCCTGTTTGTTGGGGTTAGTGTAATCGCGAACATAAACCTTAGCGCCGCTATCAAAGCTCACAGTTCTTTTGCCCTTTTGGTTTCTAATACTCGCTAGTTGACTCTCGCCTATATTTTTTGTTACTAGGGGTGGTTTGAGTAAGGATAACCTGTTTTTAATTTCTCTACCTAACAAAAGCCCTGCAGGCAACTCTCCTGTAACGCAATGTTTAGTACCGCTGTACAAACAAAAAAGTGTTTAAAATATCATTTATGTTAGACGAACCCGCTCTTAAATTTGAATACAATGATTTCTTTAACGTTTTTACAAAATTTTCGGCTTGGCCGTTAGTTGCTGGGTGGCCGGGAGCTGTTAAACAATGCTCAATTTGATTAGACAATAAAAATTGCTGAAACTCGGTCGAAGTAAATTGGCGCCCATTATCGCTCACCAACGTGTCTACTAATCCGAATCTTGTAAATAATTCCCGTAACTTGTTTATCGGAAAGTTAGTTGTAATCTCTTTTGTTTTGAATACCTCCACCCATTTCGAGTAGGAGTCGACGACTATGAAAAAGAAAAAAATTCTAATTGGGCCCGCAAAGTCCACGTGGATCCTTGACCATGCGGATTCCGTTGGGTTTCATGGAATCAAAATAGATTTTTCGGGGCTAGGCTGCGCCTGTTTGCAGGGATCGCACTTGCATATTAATTGTTCGATGTGCTGGTCTAGGTTTGGCCACCATACATATGACCTTGCCAAAACTTTTGTCTTGACGATCCCGAAGTGTGATCGGTGCAACTCCCATAAAATTGTTTCCGGAAGCCTCACCCACTCTTCATAGGATTACATAATTTCTTGTTGCTTTTGCAATGCTTTTAAAATTTAAATTGAGCTGATTGTGTGCTTCTATAAAATTAACATAATCACAATCTCTCTCATTACTTATTACCTCTCTATGTGGTAGCCTCGAAATAAAATCTGCGGGGTTAGATTTTCCTTAAATATAACGAATTGTGTAATCAAAACCCGACAGAATAACTGCCCAGCGCTGCATTCGTGTGGCCGCCATAACAGGTAATCCTTTGTGTTCTCCTAAGAGAGACAACAGCGGTTTGTGATCTGTTTGCAAAGTAAAGTGGTTACCCAACAGGTAATGCTTTAGCTTGACCACACAAAAAATTATAGCTAAAGCTCCTTTCTGAATTGTGTTGTAATTTTTTTCCGCTTTGGTGAGAGCGCGGGATACGAAGGCAATGGGTTTGTGAACACCATCAGAAAGTTCGTGCGATTAAATTCATCCCACTGCTTCGTTGGAAGCGTCTGTTCATAGCACAATTGGCAATTTTGGGTAGAAACGCGATAACACCCTCTCTGATGTTACATCTGATTTTAGTGTCACATAAGCATCTTGACAGTCCTCGGTCCATTTAAAATTGACTTTTTTTTGTAACAGTTTGTATAAGGGAACCATTTTGTGAGCGAAGTTAGGAATAAACTTGGAGTAATAGTTTAACATTCCAATGAATGCTCTTAATTCCCTCACGTTCCGTGGTAAGGGTGCTTCCAAGACTGCCTGCATTCGTTCCTTGTTTTTGCTTAAACCGTTTCTATCTATTGTGAATCCTAGGTATGAAATATTTTCTTTGAAAAATTCGCAAAACTGTTTCAATCGTCTTCACGTGATCGCTAAAATCGTTGCCTGTGATGACTATATCATCTAAGTAGTTGATAACATTCGGAATACCCCTTAACACATTCTCTATCGTCTTTTGAAAGATGGCAGCTGCGGGCTTTACGCCAAATGGTAGCCGAGTTACCTTTAATAACCCTAAATGCGTATTCCAAGCACAAAGCGCTTGTGACGACTCCTCTAAAACCAACTGATTGTAAGCGTTGAAAAGATCCAATTTTGAAAACAAAGACTCCTGTAAAGATGCAAACAGTTCCTCAATACGTGGCAAGGGGTATTTCACATCCGCTAAATATTTATTTATTGTAGACTTATAGTCGCCGCATATGCGGATATCTCCGTTGGGCTTTATCACTGGTACCAACGGTGTACCCCAATCGGAATTATCTACCTGTACCAGTATACCCGTTTTTACTAGAGCATTCAATTGACTTTCAACTTTTGCGCGAAAAGCTAGTGGCACTGGCCTGGGTTTGCAAAAAATTGGTTTAGCCGTTTCTAAAAGGTTTCACG